TAATTTAATAGTTGCTAAGAATTTTATTAAAATTCTCAAAAATAATTGAATTCCTGAGAAGAATTTTATTTTTTATGAAAATGATTGAATTATTGCGAAAAATTTTATTAAAATGTTTCAAATGAATTGAATTTCTGTAAAAAATTTTGTTATTTTTGTTAATAATTGAATTCTTCATAAGAATTTTATAAACTTTGTTTTAAATAATTAATTTTTCGAAATATAATAAATATTATAAAAATTTTATTTGTGAAAATAATTGAATTTTTGAATTAATTAATTTAAAATAGCATTAAAAATAATTGAAATTCTTTAATGAGTTTTATTATTCATGAAAATAATTGAATTCTTGCTTAGAATTTTATCAAAAATTGTTTTTAAAAATTGAATTTTTATGAAAAATGTTTTTATTAGCGAAAGCATTTGAATTATTGTCAAGAATTGTATAAAAATTTTGTTAAATAATTGATTTTTTCAAAATTTTTTTGAAAATGTTTTTCTAAATTAATTGAATTCTTGTAACAATTTTATTATTTATGCGAAAATAATTGAATTTGGGATGAATTTTAGCAATTTTTTTTCTAAATAATTAAATTGTTTTGGGAAATTTTAAAAAAATACAAGATATTGAAAATAATTAAATTTCGAATATTTTTTGAAAATAATTGAATCATTTTAAAATTGTTTTCATTGTTTTTTTCGCGAGATTCTCGGTTTTTCGTGTCGAGACTCGCTCGAAGTTCAACACTACTCAATATTTGTTTTTTATCTAAAATTATTTCCACCATCATTTTTTATAATGCTCTTTATAGAACAAGAAAAAATAAATAATTTTTCGACAAAAATTTGAAATATGTGCCAATAATTTTGCGAACAGAAGAATTCTTCTTGGAAAGGCAATTATAAATTGCTTCATAGTTGGGTTCGCCAACGAACAGACGCTTCTTAACTAGCGAAAGTAAAACCAACTGTAGTCATAAGTTACAAATACATAGTGAAGGTAGACGGGAAATTGTACACATGTAATCACTTATACATCCGTTCACTCTTTTATTACACAATCACGTGAATAAAAGAGCATTCACACTGACCACATATCTTAACGCGTTTGATCTTGCAAAAACGCTAAAGGAAATACGTAATCTAATATTATTTCAATTTATACATTTTCTTCCTGTTCAGTTTAATCATCGATGCTTTCAAGTAACACTAATACACAAGTAAATATCCCCTCGATTTTTACTTCTAGGGATAAAAATGTGGTTATCAACATATTTAACAATAATATTATATTTATGAGAGGGGTAGGTATTTAATTTTTTTTGTATTTTCCAAAAAAATTTTTAAGTGAAAGCGTAATCAGGGTGGTCACAAATTTTAGTTTATAAATTTCCTGACATTTCCCTGACAATTTACTGACATTAAAATTATTTTCCCCGACGAAATTCTTTTTACATGATCCACAAGTTTTTAACGTTCAAATGAACGAAACACTTTTTATTAGAAATGTTTTTATAATTTATTGTTTGCAATAAAAATTAAAAACTTAAATTTTACACTTAGAAACTTTATAATTCATTTATTTTATATCGACAAAAATTATAATTTTGAAAATAATTGATTTCCTGAGACGAATTAATAGTTATTTATGAAAATAATTGAATCATTGTAAACCAATTTTATTATTTTATTGAATAATTGAATGTTTCTAACATTTGAATTCTTTCGTTTAGTTTTAATAAAATTTTTAAGAATAACTGCATTTTTCGAAGAATTCATTTAAAATTCTATTAAAAATATTAAAGAATTTATCAAAAATTTTTTTCAATAATTAAATTTTTTGATAAATTTTATGAAAATAGTTAAAATTTTTAAAAATAATTGAATTTCTACGAAGAATTTTATTACTTTTGAAACTAATTCAAAAATTAGTTCGCACTAGTTACGAAATATACTATTGTTTTTGTTTACAATTATTTATTTTTATATATTCTTTATAGGTATTTATTTATTTATTTTTCGCAATATAAAAATCAAAATAAGTTGTTTTGTACTAAAAATGTGGTATTTTGTTGCAATAGTTAGAAAAAAAGTCGAAAAAGTCGCAATTTTTGACAATAAGTCGAGAAAAATGTGAATTTTCTTAATTTTTCTGATAAAAATTTTTTTTCCTGTCATTTCCCTAACTTTACTGATATGTGACCACCCTGTCGATAAATATTCATCTTTTTTTGGTTTAATTTAAAAAAAATTATGTTTGTACCGTTTTCATAATTAACAACATTTTTCCTGAAATATAAATGATATATATCGAGGTTAAGCAAAATATTTTTGTCAGTAGCTAAGGCTGAAAAATGAAAACTACTTGTTTTTAAAGAAACAGAAACAATTACAATTATTGCTTAAAGTTGTCTGAGAGTTTACATGCTGCTTGAGTGTTGTCAACTTCTAAGTCGCTGAAATTTGAAATGGAATTATGGTTTGAGAAAGGAAAATTTCCAAATGAGAAATTAGACTGAAGATTAGCAGAAATGTACATATCATGGTGGCAGAGATGCGCGAAACGAGACAACAGTAAATTCTTTAATATAATTATAAGTCTACAACCCGCGCTCACGTATATAGAGCCTATTCTCGTACATTCGGAGAAATAATGATAGTGTGACTACTTTTAGAAGTTGTATGAATGGTTTGTGACTCCTCTGATATTAGGCAGAGTTCCCACCATTTTATTCCCTCTCTGAAGAAGGCAAAACGTGGCGAAAGGGGAAGGAGGAGGGTAAAACACACTTTTGGAGGGGTCTGTTCAGTCGTTGAACTTGAATTCGTCCTCGCCGAATTTAACGAACTCGCACTAGCACCTGCGCAATATATAGCAACCTATGATCACATATTTCTCTTCAAAGAAACGACCTCGAAATGAAACCTCATATTGAGTCACTCGTCTAAATAATTTAATATTGCTTTCATCTCCACAATTAATTTCACTCAATGCGTTTGTATACTCTTATAAGTAAATCCATCATCTACGTTTTAATTTATATTCTTTAATTCATAGTGAAATAGATTTAATAACAAATTTCAGAAACATGATTAGGTAACATTGTAAATATGTTTAAATTCAATGTTATTTAATAAATCAAATTTGTTGAAAAATAGAGCGAAAATATAAATAATGTAATTAGTAAGATATTTTCTTGATATGTAATTGAATGGAAATCAGATACACACACAACTTTAATCGACCTTTTAAGTGAAATTAGACCTGTAAGCACGAATATCTATTTTGATAATTTTCTACTCAGAGAACTAGAAATAATACCTAAAGATAAGAGGTCAAGCGAAGCAATTCGTTACACTATTCATTATATCATTATACACGAATTTTGTAACAATATAAACACAATACGGAAATATTGATATTTATTAAAAAATTGTTTGTAATATTCAGTCACATAAACAACAAATTTTCGCAAGAATATCGACTAAAAAACTCATTTTATTGCAAAGAAACTTGCATGTGTTTTTATGACACGAAAGTTTAATAAATTAGAATGTCCGTTTTCGAACGTTCAAAAAAAGACGACGCTACACTCAAAAAAATTTCCAGTAATTTGACTATTTTTCAACTACTATACAAATAATTCAATAAGTCCTCAACTTAATTTAAAACGTTGTATTGACTACCAAAAAGTAGTCAAAAGAACTGTTTTTGTAATTTGACTGATTCTTCTGAAAGTGACATTTTTGATGTCTCAATTAATTTTATAAAATCTACTCTCTAATAATATTATTAACCATTTTTATAGTAAAAATTTAGCACTTACTTATCATTAAAAAAAAATTAAACAATTTTATTCAACTGAATTTATGCAATAGCTAAAATAATTTCATCTCCAAAGTCTTTTTAACATTTTTCCAATAGGATTTCTATAAGAAAACTAAATTTTTATAGTTTTTTTCAAAGTCTTAGAAATTTTTTAAAAATAGTGCCATAAAATACAATGTTTTTTCTACCACTATGTGCATTTTAAAAATTTTTGGACTTCTGTTTTTTATGTGATAAAAATGTTTAAATTTTGTATTCCCATTTAAGTTAAAATTACTTCACGATGATTAATGATGTTTTTATACATTAAAAATATTCTAAAAAAAATATTAATGCACATTAAAATAAAGTTAAAGATATGATGTTTAATTTTTCTATATATTATTTATAAAAAGGAGGAATATTATTGCTTTTATAAATATTCAAATTTTACAAATCGGCCTGAGTAAAATTCAAAGAAGAAAGACTTTAATATTTTCAAATTAATTTTGCGCAACTTAAATTCTTACTCTTGAGTATGAAATAAAGTAGTTTCAATAGAAGAAACCATATAATTTAAAAAAAATAAATTGAAAAATCGAATATCAAAAGTAGCAGTTTCAGAAAAATCACCCTTATATAGGTAAGTGTGTATTATTGTCTCACTTTGACATAAAAATGCCTGTGATTTTAACTGTTTAAGGGGACAATTATTTATAACTACATAATAATGAATATTGTTAACACTGTTTTGTAAAATACTTGTTTTTTCATCACAAATAATTCCTAAATTTTAACCTGGAATTAATATTTTTGACCTGGAAAAGCTGGAATTTTGAAATCTAAACTTTGTGGCAACCATGTTCTTGCATTTTTCCTTTAATACATTGCAACTGAAAAATATAAATTCAACTGTTTATCAAATTTATAGTTAGTCTAAGAAATTAAAATAAAGAAAATGTATGAAAAAATAAGTAGAAAAATATGGGTAATTAATAAATATTAATAAAAACAAAATTGAACAGAAAAATTATTTATTCAATTCATTTTTTTTGCATATTCTGCATTTAATGAAGTAAATAAAATAATATAAATTGTAACTCTATTTTCGCTAAATAGTATAATTTATGCAATCAATTAATGAACCCTAAACGAAAAATTTTCAACCGACTTTCTAATAAGGAAACCTCACCTTTACTATAACCAAAATTTAAAACTGATCCTGAAGCCTCGAAATTCTATTTATCCGAATCGGCACAGCTGCAACAAGAACAATTGTTTCTTATGAAGAATAAATAATCCTAACAATTGTTTAAGACAATGAATTATGTTTCGAATCTTCGTACAATTATGAACTGTAGAATAAAGATAATCTTTAAAGAGTAAAACCTTGAAAGATTGAAAAATTTAATTTAAATAAATAAAAGTAATCCCGAAAAAACTGCCTAGAAAGTTCTCTTTCTAAATTAAATGAATGATGTAACTAACAATGACAACTGAAAAATATTGTAATGTTTTATTTATGGCATAAAATGTAACATGTTTGTTGCATTTTTTTTTAATTTTCAGAGAAAAAAAAACTTCAAAACATTTACCGAATAAAAGAGTATAATCCGTGATCCAAGAATAGAGGAGCACTCAATAATGAACAATAATTTTTCCGTGAATTTCCACTCTTCTTACTTCTCGTGGCACATATCAGACCGAAGTTAATTCTCGGTATGAATCTGAAGGAAGCAGCCGAAACACTTGTGTTGAAGTTGAATATAAATTAGAACTTGAAATACTACGCATCCACTGTAAAAGTACACACTTTAAACTTCCTGCTTCATTATCGTCGTTGAACACTATGTCGAGAAGTGTTAAATCCAACCTCAACGCGCGCGTTAAATTAAGGTTATGTCGCCGGCAGCGCCAGTTTAAAGTAGCAAAATTTCCCCAATTTTCATGAAATAACCACTAATAAATGACACACGTACCCTTTATTCGACACCGTTGAAACACATGGGCGTTCTGTATTGAACTCTCCTTCTCTCTCACACACCAAAGAAAATTGACAAATGTCACATTCGAGACGCCAAACACCAGATTAACGCGCGAAACAGTTGGACCTGAACAAAGGAAACCGGCAGAAGCGACGCAACACGTTTATCAAGAATTACAAGTTGATCCCTCTGCCAGGATTTTCTTTACTATTTTCACTTTTTTCAAAATTCCAGTAGCGTCTTGATTGTTAATCGGCTTCGTTTGCAAATAAAATAGATACGTTCACACAAAATGAAATAACTATTGAGACAACGAAGGACGAGGAAAAGACTTGAGGGGTTCGTTGAATGGAAACCACGGCCTTCGCAAAAGAGACTTCCTTTGTTCAGACCAGGCTGCTGTGTAGATCTCTCGACATTGTGTCCGGTTATTATATTTTTTGTTACTTCCGTTATTAGTTAATACTATTCCGGGTCAGTTATCCTTCTTTCTCCTTCTCATACGTCACTTTCTTTCTTGATCTAAAACTTTCTTCCTTTCCACTCCTTCGTGAACACACACACTTACTTTTTCCTCCAAAACACTCGATACAAACAGTTGCTCGGTCTGTTGGTAACTGAAAGAGACTGCAAGTGCGGGTGAAGGCACATTCACACGCATTTGGCGTCCCTTCTCATCGTCGACGCGACATCAGTGGTGGGGGTACCTAACCTATTGCTCCAATGGAACATCCTCTTCCCCACCCAGCCCCTTTTCACAAGCAACCCTGCGGCATAAACTGTCGCGTCGGAAGGTTATTCAGAATATATCCACTGGACCCTCGAAACTTTAATTTTCTTGTTAAACTCTCTATTAACTAGAAATTTCATCAAATTTTTCCATTTCATGTGAAACAAATTTTTCAATATTTTCACCCTCTTTCAAAATTGTAGTTTTGACATTTTTTTAATCGTAACTGCTAATATTAATATTTATATAAAAGAACTACAGTGTTGTCAGGATACTAATTCTGCTTTTTTAAATGGTGCCTCTTTTCCAAACTCTTATACTGTCCCCTTCCTAAAGCATTGCCTCAAAAATAAATATATAATTTATAATAAATATAAAAAAATAAAATCGATCAAGATTTTTTTGATGGAATGGGATTTGGCTATAAATTGGCTGAAATAATACTACTATAGTAACATAAAAAATCCCCAAATATTTTTTCAAAATTTTTAAAAATGGCGGAGATACGGGACTTTTTAGTTTTAAGCAACATTTTTTTTGAAACGCTATAACTTGAGTTCTAATTATTCGATTTTTATTTTCAAAGTCGCTAATGATTTGTTTCTAGATATACTATTAAAAAAAAAATTAAAAAATAAAAAAAAAATTTTTTTGAAAATTTTGGGGGTAAAAATTTTTTTTGATTTTCGTTTTTGAAAATACGTCATTTTTAATTTTCTTAATTTTTTGGTCAAAAGAAGCTATAAGTGTAATTGACAAGTCCTGAAAGTTTCATCGTGGGACCGCCAGTAGTTTCGGAGAAAAAAAATAAAATGTAATTTCGGTTTACATTGACTGTACTTACGCATTGATTGGCTTGTAACGATGGACTTGTCCTTTTTTTCTAGATCATTAAATTTTTTTGTTTTCTTTAATTTTTAAAAGTTTTTTTGTTTTTTTCTTAATTTAAAAAATGTTTTTTTGTTTTTTTTGAATTTAAAAATTTTTTTTTGTTTTTTTTTAATTTTAAAATTTTTTTTTGTTTTTTTTTAATTTTGAAATTTTTTTTTGTTTTTTTTAATTTTATTATACGTATATACAAAAAGTAAATGAATATTGCATCACTGTAAGGGCTTTTATTAAACTTTACGTCGCTTACGTGTCTTATTCTGATTTTTAAAGACAGGAACTACTGTAAACTCATCAGAATTGGAAAAAGGTTTAGTCTTTACTTCCGATAATGAAACAGGAATGACAGCATGTACTTGTTGTGTACCTTCAATTGTCATCGCATTGTTAAACCTCTCTTTCAGAAATATTTCTTCGGATGCATATTCTTCTTTAGAGCAAAATTCAACACAAATATCATTGAAGTGTGTTTTTGCCCAGTCATACATTTCTTTTGCGTTTGTAATTTGGTTATCATATGGTCTTTGAATGTTTGTTCTAGCAGCTGATCTTTTAAGAATACCTCCGATCCCATCGCAAGGTCCTTTGCCATGGGCAGTTGCATGAAAATGCCATTCTGCCTTACAGCCAAAATCTTGCTCGTGCAAAGTTAAATTAGCAAAGTTTTTTCGGTTTTTATACTGAGCAGCACAACCATCTGAAAAGTATAATACTAAATTTATGTTAACCTCTAACTTCGCACGTAGGAAAATCAATAGTTTTTTTTGAAATAGATGTACGGCGATCGTGTTATGCTCTTTTATATCAGATATTATAGCATAACTGATATGTTTTAAATCTCCTTCACTTGTTCGATAATATACCACAAATGGATGAATGGTTACTTGTGTTTTTGACCAATGTTTGCCTTGAGAGGAATCTTGTAAATCAATACTATGATTTTCTGCAAAATCTAGTTGAACAAGGAACTGACCAATTGATAAATTAGATTTTATAGTTTCAATATACATACCTTGTTGTTTCGCTATAAAATCATGACGAAGAAGTCGTCTTGCATGTTCACTTATTTTATTAACAAATTCATCAACAGGTACAATAATTGTTTCGAGGTCTGATCGATCTGTTGTGATCCACTGTTTTATTATGACTTGTGTAATATCTTTTTGTACGTAAGCTTGTTCTAAAAGAATTTTGAGATTCTCGTCACCTGGGCAATTTGGACATTGATTAAAATAGCAATCAATTATGATAAAATGAAATAAGAAATAAGACCGCCGGTATCACAAACATAACATTTTTATCACATTGTTCGTCTGCACAGTTAAGAAAGTTACATTTGTTTTTAATTATGTTAACCTGTACGGAATTTCATCAACAAAGTATCAATAAAATATGATTTAAATTAAATTTCCAATTTCATAAACGATCCTGTACCAACAAACGTTGTACCTGCTAAATGCCGCCTTGCCATCATAGTCGTGGTCTAGGATACTTTCAGTAAATTGCACTTGTAGCTTCTTTTAAAAAAAATATTTTAAAGATTAAAAATAATCTAGTTTCAAATAGAAAAAAAAAATTTCAAAAAAAAATTTCCAAAAAAAAAATTTCAAGAAAATATTAAAAAAATTTTTTTTTAATTATAAATTTTTTTTAAAATTTTTTTTACATCTTATATCTAAAAAAAAATTTTTTGACACTTTATTATTGAAAATTAAATCATCTGAACGAAACTCATAGTGTTACAAACCATTATGTAGGTACAGTCAATGTGAACCGAATTTACATTTTATTTTTTTTCTCCGAAACTACTGGCGGTCCCACGATGAAACTTTCAGGACTTGTCAATTACACTTATAGCTTCTTTTGACCAAAAAATTAAGAAAATTAAAAATGACGTATTTTCAAAAACGAAAATCAAAAAAAATTTTTACCCCCAAAATTTTCAAAAAAATTTTTTTTTTATTTTTTAATTTTTTTTTTAATAGTATATCTAGAAACAAATCATTAGCGACTTTGAAAATAAAAATCGAATAATTAGAACTCAAGTTATAGCGTTTCAAAAAAAATGTTGCTTAAAACTAAAAAGTCCCGTATCTCCGCCATTTTTAAAAATTTTGAAAAAATATTTGGGGATTTTTTATGTTACTATAGTAGTATTATTTCAGCCAATTTATAGCCAAATCCCATTCCATCAAAAAAATCTTGATCGATTTGACGCGGACTTCACCATATAAGAATATAAAATTTATTCTTTCAAATGACAATTCTTTATTAGATTACCACAATCACAGAGCTCGGATTGTGCGACATTTTCGACTTTTTTGTGAAAAATGCGACTAATTGACTTTTTCGAGATTTTTTTAGTAAAATGCGATTTTCGACTTAAATTGTAAATGTCAGAAATCTTTGTTTATAAACAATATTATTCACAAAATCATTCTTCTCTTTGTGGAAAAAAACAACATATTATCCCGTTTCTTAATATTTTTGTAGGAAATTCTCAATTTTCATAAGAAAATAATTTCCATCATTTCTATTTCTTAATTACAATTGCTTTAATAATATTTAAAGTTTTTTAAAAATTAATAAAAAAAAATGTTTATAAATTCTATTTGTCAATTAGAAATTGAAACTTTCAAAATTTTTGGAAAATTTAAGGAAAAAGTTTTAGTCAAAAGAATGTTCTGTTACATTTATTTACAAATTTCTTTCAAATCTTTCGAAAACATCAATAACTTCTTTTTTAAATAAATATTTAATTATTATTTTTCCATAGGAAATAAAATTCTTCAAAAGATTCAAATTCAAACCTTTTTGAAATTAAACAACTTCTAAAAAATTATTATAAAACATGAAGAAATCGATCACTCCGAGTCTTCGACTCGGAGCAATCGATGTCTTCATGTTTTATAATAATTAAAGATGACCGAGTGATAAAATCATTATTTTATATTATAAGATTTTATAAAAAAAAAAAATTTTTAATTATTTTTTATGAAAATAATTGAATTATTGAGAAGAAATTCATAAAACATTAGTAAGTAATGAATTTTGCAGAAGAATTTTGATATTTACAAAAATAATTGAAATTTTGAGGAGAATTTAAAAAAAAATTTTGAAAATAATTGAATTTTCTTACTTTTGAAGATAATTGAATTTTGCAAAGAATTTTATCAGAACTTTTGAAAATAATTAAAATTTCCAGGATGAATTTTATTATTTATGAGGATAAATAAAATTTTGAAGAGAAATTAAAAAAAAATTTTGAAAATAATTGAATTTCTATAGGATGAATTTTTTTATTTATAAAAATAATTGTTTTGACAAGAATTTTATTATTATTTTTAAAAATAATTAAATTTCAGAGAAGAATTTTATTATTCATAAAGATAATGGAAATTTTGAACAGATTTTTTTTATAAATGTTTAAAAGTAATTGAATTTTGCAGAAGAATTTTGATATTTATAAAGATAATTGAAATTTTAAGGAGAATTTTTAAAAAAATTTTTGAAAATAATTGAATTTCTGCCAAGAATTTTCTTACTTTAAAAGATAATTGAATTTTGTAAAGAATTTTATCAGAACTTTTGAAAATAATTAAATTTCCATGATGAATTTTATTATTTATAAAATTTTAACGAGAAATTTAAAAAAAATTTTGAATATAATTGAATTTCTGCGAAGAATTTTATTACTTCTGAAAATAATTGAATTTTAGAGAAGAATTTTATTATTTATAAAGATAATAATTGAAATATTGACAAGATTCTTATTAAAATTTTTTTTAAATAATTGAATTTAGGAGAAGAATTTTATTATTTATAAAAATAATTTACATTTTAAAGAGAATTTTTAAAAGAATGTTCAAAATACCTAATTGAAATTTTATTAAATTTTATTCCGGATTGTTTGATATTAAAGTATGTGTTGTTGAGAAATGTGATTCTTTTTACAATTTTGACAATTTCGTGTTTCCTTGTCGTTTTTTCTATAGAATTTCATGCAACTTTTTTTCGACTTTTT